CATGCAATGCATGCAGTTGTGGTGTCTGTTTTGGTCAAAAAATGGGGTGATGCCTCTTCACTGCCTGTCAATCGCCTCTGAGAAGTGATCTGCACATGGATTGCTTTTCAAAGGAGTGGCAGGTTTAGATGCACACATAAACTGAGCCATGCTGAGAAGAGTTTTATTGATATGTATATACATATATATGTATTGGAGGGCTCCTTCCCTGTGTGTGAGGAGCTGGTCACCATATTCCATGCAGAAGGTGATGTTTCCATGTCCCGCATGACACCTCCTGCAGGTAGGAGCTCTGTGTCGGTCGGCTGCAGTTGTAACGGTCCTCTCAGAGGCAGTGTTGATAACATGAGGGGATGGTGTTGCTATTTGTCATTTTTACTGACATAAACAAAAATGTACGAATATCACGATAGGTGTTTACACAATGCTGCGCACTCTGAGGTGAAAATTAATTTATAAAGTAAACCCGTGGGTTCTATAACGCCTCATCTGCCCCCATCATTGGTCTGGGCAGATACGGCGTGATTCCTTGTTGTTTTACGGTAAATCTCCAAGAAAAGCGAGCACCATACGCGCCTGCAGCCCTCGAAGAAGGGAGCATAGGGTACTTCTCCCTCTGTGACACTAAACATCAGGCGCCATTTTAGCTTTTTCCCAAAGCAAACAAGACTATGAGGGCGGGAATGGGCCGACCCGGCCTTTCTGCAGAAGCCATTCATCCTATTGGACAACGCTCCTGTCATTACGCGTTGGAACACGCCTCTTGCGAAAAGCCTGAGTCGATTTGCTGGCGCGCTTGTCGGTCACAGCTTGCTTTGCATTGTCATTAGCTGACGCGCTGATGTTACGCCCACACATTTGCGGGCCGTGTGCAAAAGCAAGCTGAGAGGCCTTGGGAGGGAAACGGCCGTTAAGAGAAAGAGGCGGGGCGCCACTAGGCATCTGGGAAACAAGGCGGAACGCGATAGGCCGGGTTGGGGTTTCAAACCAGGAAGGTTGGCCATGATTGGCTACGAGGCGTCCTGTCGCTCGGGCCTGACGGGTGGGGGGTTATTGTGTGTGTAAGGCTGAGAGTGCGCGGTACCGGCGGCAGTGAGGGACGTAGACACGGGGCAACTTTATCCGGACCTTCTCACGGCGACGCTCGAAGTTCCGGAACATGGTAAATACCTCATTTAGAGGGTTTCGTGTGTCTGCCGGCAGCCGAGTCCCGTGCGCCTCATAGACCGTCCGCGGAAAAGGCGGGAAGAGCATCTGAGCTGTGTGTGAGGAGATTCGGCCGGCTGACCGTCCACACATCGGGCCAGGGTTAAGGGAGACCTCCGCTGAGTACCCCGCACTGCGCCCACCTAGACCAGAGTGAGGTCTACTCTGTCGGGATCCCACTGCGACCGGCCAGCTCGGATAATATCATAACACGGCTCCCCACACACCGGGCTGACCCTCCGCATCATCACCCTCTCTGACATCGGGACTGACTGACAACAGGGAATTCCCATTCACCAGACCCCCGCAGGGCTCTACCCTGCCGTGTTATTGTCTGCAGCAGCCCCGTGTCCCCGGAAGTCACCACTACATACAGCGGGTCATAACAATGACAGGGGGAGGCTGTATGTTTACTATTCCACCCAATGTACTGCTATACAAATCCTCCTCATCATTACCTGACCCAGGGGACATCACCCCTCCCCCCCCCACTAGCTGATCCTGTGTACACTATATACAGTACCCTCCCCCTTGTATTATCCAACCCTGTATATTATAATATATACAACTTCTTACCTGACTCCATAGAAGGTATACACCCCATTAGTATCTGATAGATATATATATATCTATTTATTTATTTTACCTGACCCTGTATACATTCTCCATTATTAGCTGATCCCATATACATCAGCCCTACTGCAATTGGGTCTTGTATTTTTATATACCTCCCATCTTGGCAGACCCAGTATACTATATACATTACCACCCCCCTTATTATTTTACATATATAACTCCTATGATCTGGCTCTGTATACTATACACAATAACCCCATTATTATCTGACCCTGAATTCTATATCCAATATCACCAATCTTATGACATCAATTATTATCTGACCTGTATGACATCTGCATTACTACCTGACCCTGTATCATCACTCCGCAATGTGATCTAAGCCTGTATACTATATAAACTGATCTTCTGCTATATTATCCCCCCTCCCCTATAAAAATGAGATCTATGATATACATTGTACTATTTCTGAACTGTGTGTATATACACATTTATTACCCACATCATGATCTGACCTGTACTATACACACTACCTCCATCCTTACCCTGTTTATATACAGTTTTCCCAATTTTATATGACCGATGAGATACGCTATACATTGTCCCCATTATTTTGGGATATATACACTTACCCCCCACTATGACCTCATTCTGATGTATACTTTATCTTCAGTCTGTGCTCACCAGGATGACAAATGTTCTCATCCTAAATACGTGGAGCTTTGAGTAGTTCAGTGTCCTTTTACCAAAATAATTGGGAGTCTTTCACAAATGTGTTTATAGTGTCAACCTCTATGGCTTTCCAGTGACATGGACCTAAACCCTAGCTGTGATGAGATATAGAGGATGGGGAGAGGGGGGCAGTGCCTATGCCTGGTACAGGAGTCGGGCCAGGGATTAGTGGGGGCTATGTAAGCCACGTCTAACATCCATAGACAAAGCTGATTTGTTTGTGCTACTCTCCCCAATCATACACAGCCCATAAAACAGAGAGGCCAAACATGAAATTTGCCCTTTTATGGCTCTACATTTATTACCATCTTGCAGGGACAGTAGAGGTGGAGGACAATACTTCTGAGGAGGCTCTGAATGTTGTTAGACACAGAGGGATACTGCACTGACAAAGCCTTGCCATTGGGCTGTCTGCTGCTAATCCTGATCCAGCCTCCAGCAGCAGGCATGACCCCATAGGCTCAGTCCTCTCCTTTCATAACAATCTGAATTTCCCGCTGCAAACTGCTTAAGGGGAAATAGTTGACAGTATTAATAAAAACACATTTCTGCAAGAAACCGCATTTTAATTTTACTGTCAGTGCTATATAAATCCTGTATTGTAATCCTAAAGAGATGAAACTGCACTAGAGTTCTGTCCATTCATTTGTGACCAATGTAGGTCCAAGGGAAAACACACTTTTGCAAATCTATACAATCATAAAAAGTAAACAATTTGTTTACAATTGATATTTAATTGATCTCTATTAGAATTAGTTCTCCAATGCACAAACTATCAGCAAAATGGACTTGGTAGTGTCTAAGGGGCTCTGGTGTGCAAACTTCATGAGATCAGTTTAGCCATATTCATTTTTACCATTGCCATTAGACATAAATGTTTTAAGTACCACTGCTCTATCGTGTATAAGTAAATTTCATTTACTTCTGCAAACACTGCATTAAGATGCGTTGAAAACCTCTTTTGTTCTCGTGTTAGCATTAAAATTTTAGACATATTTCACAAAGCTTTAGCAGGAGGATCTTGTGATTTGTAATTTTCAATTTGCTCTCAGTTGCATATAAGGATCCTTATCCTTGTGTGTTAGCTTAGTGAATTTAGCCTTCTGTCTTTGTATCATCAGGTTATATCTAAGGTTGGAATCAGCAGCAGACAAGTATTTGACGGATAACAATGCTTTTGCTTACTGATGCTGACATTGGCAAAAAAAAGGGTGTGTTGATGATAACCAAACTCTTGTGAAAAGTAGTTGAACAGCTACAGCATTTAATCTACATTAATTCACACATTTATTTTTACATAAAGGAAGGGAATGTGCACATATTTGACACATAGGTAGTTAATTAGACCCTTTTCACATGGGTGTTTCAGCAGTCTGTATTTGACCTCCAATTACTCAGGTCAAAAACAGAACTTAATGTATCTATGAGTGGACAAGTGTTCACCTATGTCCACCCACATCCAGGTCCTCTCAGTGGGCACCTAACCCTAGGATGACGTGTGCCTTTTTATCCATTACATTTCTGTTCTGTTTCAACTCGGTAAGGATTCCCTGCCAAGGTGGAACAGAGAGCGTCCCTGTGAAAGGGGCCTCAGGGTTGCTGACAGACTAGGCCAAAGACACCCCCTTCCCCAGAGTGTTCATTACGTTGTTCTATGGGATTTTTATAGCACTTTGCAAAATAACAGGAGACAGTACAAATCAAAAACAATTCAAGACAAGCAGTTAGAAGAGCCCTGCTCATGCCAGCCTTAACAGGACAAATGCAAATACATTTTGGGGTTTAAAAAAAAAAAAGCCCCAATGTGGACCAACCTGCATGTAACTGAATTCAATTGTAAAATATGCATGTTTTCACTTCCCATGTTGATGCCAGTTGCATCATTAAGATGCATGCAAAATGCATGAAACTTACAAATATAAAAAACACACAACATGAACAGGCCTGATAAACTGAAAGCACACTGGCAACCTATTCAGTCGATAGATGCTTTTAATTAGCATAACCACATATGTACATTTGTTGTGTTGCTGCATGCACGTTAAGTCTTACAAAGAGACTAGAACAGTTTATATAATTTGTATGTCATTATCTATTATAAAAATCATTATGAAGCACCCATTTAAGTAACTAATACCATCAGAGCTTTGGGAGGAGACAAAGTGGTAATTTTGATTTCGCTTTCTGTAATTAGTTTATAGTTGGTTCAACATGATCAGAGCTGACTGTCAGGCTTCTCTAACACTCTGTCAGCACCATATGGAGGAAAGAGCTCAGACAATAGCTGGGTATAAGACCACTGAAGCTTTGTCAGAGGGAGGTCACCTGTCACTACAGATGGAATCACTGGAGGGGATGCGATGTATATGCACACATTGTATTTTACCCCTTTTTATATTCTAGTTGTGTATTTGCAATATAAACTGGTACAGAACCTGTGAAAAATAGGGAAACAACTTTTTACCACTACTTTTCCTTTCTATAGGCTGGTGGTAAGGCTGGGAAGAAAGGACAGTGGGAAGGCTAAGGCCAAAGCTGTATCTCGCTCTCAAAGAGCAGGACTGCAGGTAAGTTTATTGTAATTAGCTCTAGTATAGAATTGTTCTTCCATAATAAATAGTTTTACAAAGGAGAATGGGGCACAAAAGTATATTTTGCTATTGGTCTTACCTAGGAGAGCAGGAGTATAGAGTCCTCCAGTACTGGTATCTGCCATTTTAGGATTCATGCCCATCCACTAATGCACAAGCACCTAATGAGATTTACATAAACCAGTGGCCTCTTACATTGGCTAGTTGTATTTGTAGCAGAGTTAGGGCTCATGTACACAGGACGTTTGGAAAACACTTCTGAATGATGGAAACTGACTGCTGGAAAATGTAGGTTGAAAACGTCTGTTTAGCCACGTTTGCATAATGCGTTTATGCGTGTTTTAGAAGCGTTTTTTAAAGATATCAGGAGAACTTCCAGAATGCAGTAAAAAAACAAAAAAAAACTTATTTCAGACATTTTGAGAGAGAAAGAGAGAGCAGTATGTGTTGAGATTACCTGTCTTTTCTGGGGGTATTCACTATGGATCCCATCATGAGTATAATGCAGCACGTTCTACCATTTTTTCCTTCATGCAAAACCTGGAACTAACTGCGCTGGTGTACCGGGTCCATTTGAATACATGGATAATGCTTTGCATGCATTTCGGATGATGAAAAAAGGCTCTGGACAGCATCTGGATATGGAACAGTTAAAACCGCTTTTAAATGCAAACGCACATAAACGCGGTTAGCCGCATTTACAAGCATTTGGTGTTTGAAACGCTGATAAAATCTACTCCGGAACACAAGTTTGGTATGTTCAAAAAAACGACTATAAATGACAGTGTACATGGTCACATAGGAAAACATAAGGGAGAGTTCAGGGGCTGCTGAAAAAACAAACAAACGCAGAAAAGCTCCTGAACGTGAGTTTCAGCTGTAGTGTACATGAGCCGTTACGTTTGGCATTTAAGGTGCTTTAATGTGATTTTTGGTTTTGCTTTAGTTCCCTGTGGGTCGTATACATAGACACTTGAAGACTCGCACTACAAGCCACGGAAGAGTTGGTGCTACAGCAGCAGTGTACAGTGCTGCCATTCTGGAATACCTTACTGCTGAGGTTGGTATAGGTTCACATTTGCTTCCACAACCGTTTGAAAACTCAACCCAAGTCTGTTAGTTTCAGGTCTAAATAATGTCTTGCCTTGTTGTAGATGACATTCTCTAGCAGATTTGGTGTTTCCAGGCACTTATTTTCTTGCCTTTAAATCCAGGTATTGGAGTTGGCAGGAAATGCCTCTAAAGATCTAAAGGTGAAGCGTATCACTCCTCGTCATTTGCAGCTAGCCATCCGTGGGGATGAAGAATTAGACTCCCTCATCAAGGCCACCATTGCAGGAGGAGGTATGTAGTCTCTGAGAAGCCAAAGTACTTTATAATGAATAAATACACCTAAATTTGAAATGGCAGGAACAGCAGTGCATGTGCAATGTGAAATGTTTTCTCTGTCTATCTTGCATAGACTTAACATTTGTAATGTATTTCTCGGTTTACCTGCAGGTGTTATTCCTCACATCCACAAGTCTCTGATCGGAAAGAAGGGACAGCAGAAAACTGCATAAGGAATAGGGTCCTGCTGCCATCTACCATTGTACTGTAACTGGGACAGAAGAAAGATGATGGGGTTATGTGGAATTTGTTTTGTTTATTTTCGTTTAAAGATTTCATTTTCTAAAATAAATAGTAAATGGAATAGACAGCAGAGAGTGTAGACTTAAGAGAAAACCTTTGTATGTTGTTTAGGTTCAAAGTTTCACAGAAAAAAAAAGTTCCTTGAGTCTTGTAAATGAAATCTGTGTGTTGATTGGCTAGGTTTCTCCCGTGTGTTTTATACAAAAATGGAACAGATAAACCATTTTTTACATAAGCTTGCCTCTGTGTGATAAATCTTTAAGCTAGGCCCACTTCCTGGAATAAAGTTTTTAAGCTTCAGCCTCATCTTTACAATTTACTAATTTTGAGTTTTTACATTTCAGGGATAAAAAGAAACCATTTTTCCATCTTACATTAGGCATCTCTTAATATAGTAGAGCCCATTGTAGTGGCCTTTCTTTAAACTTAAAATTCAGCCAAGCACTCCCCTTATTAAAATGTAAACCATTAGTGCAGGTTGCTCAGCTTCTCTGGCATACAAGCCTGTGGCTGGCAGTGCATCATGGGATTTGTAGTTTCACCACAGCTGAAGTACCAAAGTTCCTTATCCTGGCTGTACATGTTGGAAACAGACCAGACCTCCTGTTCATAGGATCTGGGTCTATGCACTATAGTTGGGATCAAAATAATGCATAGTGTAACTCAGCGTGGTGAGCATTTTGACTGAGGAGGGGTGGTGCTTTCTGAAATGTAAACGTACAGCTACCCTTTGGGTCTGGTTCACACTACTGCAATTTTAGATGCAACCCGAGTTGCATGACAAGGGAAATCACATTGTTTTCAGTGGTGCCCATTCACATTAATGCAACTCAGCACGGAGCGATTTTGAAAAATGTTCCTGTACCACTTTGGTAAGGTTTGCATAGTCTATGGGGCCAAAAACTCACCAAAATTGCAGCCTGGTAGTACTACATAAAATCACATTGAAAGTCAGCTTGAAATTGCATCACAGCATTGTGAACCTAGCCTTAAATAGAACCTGTACCAAAAGAGAGGCTGCCATTGCTGACCTAACTATAAATTTTCTAGTTCCCTGGTGGCACTCTTAAAGCTGGATCCTGGCAGTACTAGGGTCGTTTTGTTTGACTCCCAGCCATGCAGCACCTGCCTGGAGTTTGCAGGTTGTCCCTGTGGGTTTCTACCCACACTCAATAGACATGCTGGTAGGTTAATTGAATCCTCTCTAAATTGGCTCTAGAATGTGTACATATGGATGTAAGTTAGGGACCTTAGATTGTACACCCCTTGAGGGTTAGGGACTGATGTGAATGTACAATATATATATATGTAAAGCGTGGCATAAATTGGCGGCGCTATATAAGTACCTGAAAGAAATAAATCTTCAGCTTCTACCTTTTTGATGGTTCCAAGCTGGTCCGAATGAACATATTCACTAAGATAGTTGCAGCGGCTGATAGCGCTGTATGGAGTCTCGGCCACATGCAATATACAGCGCTGTGTTCCGGCAGTGGGAAAAGACCTTCCGGTTTCACTCCGGAGAACAAAATAGGAGTTGGGCTGAGTGCTACTCAGTGCAGGTTTGGGTTTTAAAAATTAATAAAAAGCTTACTCTGTTTGGCTAAGGTGGATTTTGTAATGTCATCTGTCTGCATCAGCCAATCAGAGGAAGCTTTGTATTCATTCATAGAATACAAAGCTTCCTCTGAATAGCTGAGCAGCACTCAGCCTGACTATTTTATGACAGATGTGGGATGGGAAGGTCTCATCTCGCTGCCAAAACAGCACTGTGATGTTTATTTACTAAAGCTGGAGAGTGTAAAAATAGGCTCATTTCTGCATAGAAACCAATCAGCTTCTAACCTCAGCTTGTCTAATTAAGCTTTGGCAATAAAACCTGGAAGCCGACTGGTTTTTATGCAGAAGTGATTTTGTACTCTAGCTTTAGTAAATAAACCCCTGCAAGTAGCTTAAGGCAACATACAGCACTCCCAACTGCTGCAACAGTTAGTGAAGTAAATAGTTTGTTTACACCAGCTTGGTCCAAACGAACAAGTTAAATGAAACATGGAGATCAACTTTAAAAGAGAAGTAGGGTTTTTCTTTCTCTCTCCTATTTATTCTTACTTAGCTGGATGTGGCATCATTCTGATGCTGCATCTGTCCCCTGCCAGATCTAAGGGTGAGAACGTAGCGATTATGTGATCACTGAGTTCTCTCCGCTCTGAGCAGAGAGCAGGACTATCAATCACCGCTGTCTGCTCGGGCAATTGCCCCCGCTGAAAGGCTGAGCCAGGTGCCGCTCCAGACTCTGGTGTGGATCCTAACTTTGCAGTGAGGATCGTTCCCCAGCCTGGGCTGGCTGAGTGACCGTCAGTCGACAGTAGACTTCAGGCAGCTGTCAGCTGAAAACGGGTCACAGGAGTGCAGAACAAACTGCACTCCTGTGATCCACAGGAGCAGTACAGCCAAAAAAGCTTTGGTTGTACTTCTCCTTTAAGTCACTGTCCAGCTAAGTCAGACTTCCTAACCTGCATATGTGGTCCAGGTCATTAGCAGAAACATTTGATCACTTTAAAAAAAAAAAAAACAACTAACTAGCATTTTCAGAAGCAGAGGTTAACAGAAACCATTCTAGGCCTGTGTCATTTTGTATTGATGTTGCTATGTGTTTTGTACCCTTGTAGGAATGCACTGATCATCATTACACTTTATAAACCAGGGGTGGTAAACTGTACTTGGGGACCAGAACTTTTTCAGCTGGCAGCAGTAAAACGAGGTTGAGCCTGATCACTAAGTCAATAGATTCAACCCTACAATCCTGACATGGACAGTTTTCAAGGACTGGAGTAAAGCCACACCACTTCTACCTATCAAACATCATCTGGCTCTACCTTCCTTTATAATAAAAAAAAAAAAGCAGCATAGCATTATCATCCTAGAAAATCATGTGTTTCATTTATACAACGGCAACAAATTCCACGCCTGTTTACAGAGTATATAAAAGCTTTTATATACTTTAAAGCATAAAATTTTAAAAGATGGACAGCAACATCAATGATCTTTCCACCCAGTATTGGATAGAATGAGGGAAGGTTAGAAAGAAGTTCTTAATGCTCGCTTTGGCCCTAATAGTGAAACTTGAAGCCCAGCTCCAGGAAAACTAAAATATCCACAGGTCCCCCTGCACTCCAAGGATTAAATGCTCATTTCTAGGGTTTAAAGCAGAACTAAACTCAGACAACATATCTTATTCTGTCCCTCCCTCTTACACAAATGGAATTTTGTGTAACCATTCTTTTTGTGCTACAAGGCAGCATTTTAGGTTTCTGGTCCAGGCTGAGTCCCGCTGCCTCCTGAGATTGCTAAATCACAACCATCCCAGCATGCAGTGGGTTACTATGTGGCAGATTTCCACACGTTCACAAATGCCTCTGAGAGCTAAATTGCCCATCCAACACAAGCTGACGGCATTTGTGTCCATGCGCAGAAGAACTGCCAGTCTTTTCCAGCTCCCACATGCCTGGAAGAGACCAGCGGTGCATCTATGCTGCCTTTTTTAAAAAAAAAAATATGGCTCTGCAGAAGGTGGGGGGGGTTGGGGGGTAGTTTAGTTCCAATTTTAGGAGTAAATACTTACCTTACACCAGCAGGGTCTCTTTTCTGCTGCAACCAGTTCCCACAGCCTGCTCTGTAAACTGATAGTCTACGGTGACAGTCCAACCCTCTCAGTATACAATACAGCCTTAACTACTTGCCCTCCAGAGGATTTACCCCCCTTCCTGACCAGGTAATTTTTTGCGTTGCAGCGCTGCGTTACTTTAACTGACAATTGCGTGGTCATGCAACGCTGCAACCAAATGAAACTTGTGTCCTTTTTTTTCCCCACTAATTGTGCTCTCTTTAAGTGGTATTTGATCGCCTGTGCAATTTTATTTTTGTGCTATAAAAAAAAAAAAAAAGGCCGACAATTTTGAGAAAAAACAATATTTTTGACTTTTTGCTATTAAACATGTCCAGTAAAAAAAAAAAAAAAAATCAAATTTTGTCATAAATTTAAGCTAAAATGTACTCTGCTACATGTCTTTGCTAAAAAAAAAAAAGTCACAATACCTGTAAATTAATTGGTTTACCTGAAAGTTATAGCGTTTACAAATGGCGGTATATATACTAGGATTTTTTTTTCTAATTTTTACTAGTAATGGCAGTGATCAGCGACTTTTTGCAGGACTGTGGTGGGCATTCTTACATTGGGGGGGAACTGACTTGGTGCCACTGACATCACCAGTGACACCAATACAGTGATCAGTGTTAATAAAAAGCACTGACACTGTACTAATGGCACTGGGCAGGAAGGGGTTAACATGTGGGACGATCAAAGGGGTTAACAATGTGCTGTTTTACTTGGGGCTGTGTCTGGGCTTCACTGTAAGCACACTGCTTTGCACGGCTGTGCTGTGCACAACCGTGCAAAGCAATGTACATGAGCTGACTGGGAGGAGAACTGACTTGTTTACTAACAGTTCTCCCTCCCGTCGGAGATGCTCGGTAATCACTGGGTGCCGGTGATTGACAGCCATGAATGGCGGCATAGGTAGGGCGCACGAGTGCCCCCTACCCGGAAATGCAAAATCACGTGTATATATACGTGATTTTGCGCATCCGCACCGCCTGTAGCAGTATATCTTCTATAGGGCATATGGGAAGCGGTTAATGTCTGTGTATTGTATGTTATGACTCCATGGCTCTGCCAACAGACCAGAGTCAAGAGACAGAGCCTCTTCTGCCTTCCCCTAGACATAACAAGCATGTAACCCTTATTGGTGGGGTGGACCAACTGCAAAACTTTGGACTTTATTTTATGTCCTTGTGACAATTTTGTCACCAGGATAGCAAGTGAGGGGAAATCTCCCCAACATGGCCTCAGACAGCAAGAAAAAAAAAAAAAAAA